TTAATATCATTTTTATTCTGAACTAGCGGAAGTACCCGATCGCAGTTAAGTTAGATTGAGAGTAATGCAGAACAACAGAGAGAACGATGCCGCTGTAATCCTTCTCTAATGCCATATGGAACCCACTTGAAAAATTCGATAGAAAATAATCTAATTCTCTCTCATTATATCAGCAACAATGGCACGCAGTTTTTTTAAGATTTTCGTCTTTCTAATCAAATGGTCGTAAAAGCTCAAGTTATATCCAATATTTCACTTATATTCAATATGGCAAAAAATGGATCATAATTCATCAGAAATCAATAACGTGAAAAAACAAACAGCTAGTCTTCCTTATATCTATATATTTTATAAAACTTACAAATTTTTGATCAGCAAACTCTACGATTTGAAAGCCAGCAGAAGCAAGACTTTTCGAAATAAAGCAGATTTTTAATCTCCATCACGCGAGGGTGTTGCCACACGGAAAAATAAGTGCTAAAATTAATGTTTTAGGAGTTTTTAATTAATTTCTCGGCTGATTAAAGTCGTACGCAATCGAAGTGGCTTCGCACGAATTTTTGGAATCGGGAATAATGTATTTAAGTTTGACAATGATATTTTTACTTCATTGTAAAACCTGGAAATTTTGTATTAACAAACTCTACGATTTGAAAGCGAGCCATAGCAACGCTTTTCGAAACAAACAGATTTTCTTGCAAAACTATTGCCATTCGGAAAAATGAAGGCGAAAATGATCGTTTTTCTGAGTCTTTAATTCATACCTCTGATTTTAGTTATTTTGGGGGGGGGAGTGGACGTTGACCTTTTCCAGAACCTTAAAAGAATTGTAGAAAGTTTGGTGACGATAGCTATAGCACACACAGAAACTTACTTCTTTATATATATAGATGACCTCATTTGATTTTAGAATGTGAAGATCAGGGTTATAGTTTTAATCTTATATTGTCATTCTTTTGAATCTTATTTTGATGTAGCGTCATCTATGAGTTTTTTACCCATGCTCAGACAGTAAGGTTAGCTCCCGCTGCTATTGATGTTGATGCCCGCTGCTGATTGGCAAAATAAAAAAAACTTTAGTTTTTTGTATATCATTTTATGCTTTTTATTTTTGTTCAAAACCGACGCTGTTCCCACACTTTTTAGACGACTTTGCTTTGCTGTAAAAAACTCACCTGCTTGGAAAAAAATTCCCTTCAACTATATTTTTGAAAATGTAAATTATCATCTGCTGCTTCACAATTTTATTTTCGTGCAAACTGGCGCTTTTAAAGAAGCAATGGATGAAAGGCTATGTTTGTGCTCTTTCCGAAGAAAATCGTTCGTATTTAGTTATTAAAAAATCATGTGAAAGCCGTGATTTTTAGGTACCTGAAGAAACGATAGATAATATTGTCAATAAGAGAGGGAAAAACGTCAAAATAATACGTCAAAATGATAATAAAATAAACGTTCAAAATAATAGCCAAGAAAAAGATGGAATTTTTGAACGTTGCAAAGGCAAGAATGTTAAAACAAAGTCCGAATCAAAGTGATTAATGCTGAATTAAATTTTAAAAATACAAAAAAAAAAACATAATATGCATCATCTTTGTCTACGACATATCGCTGAAAGCCAAACGCTGTACAGAGTTTTCTCTGAGAAACAATTATTAGGATAAAAATGGGAAAATGTTGTCACCATAGATGAAGCTTGGGTATATTTCGAATCAAAGAAAAGAAAAAAAAATCTTAGAACATGGTTCAAAGAATCTAAAGAAAGTTTTTCTAAGGTATTTATGATTGTTTCTGATTTGCTCCTGTTTTCCTGAACGACAAAAAAAAAAAAAAAAAAAAAAAAACTGAAGGTTTCAGATTTTAAATTACGTCCAGAGGGTCGTTTTTTTAACACTTTTTGTGTTACCTTTATTTTGTTACCTTACCTTTATTTGTGTTACCTTTGAAATTCCGATACACATTCTCAGAAGCTGGAGATAAAAATGTTTTTTCTTCTGTGCAACGTTCCAGTTGCTCGCTTGGAAATTCTTGAGTTTGTTAGTGAAAAATTCGTTAGGTTTACAAAATAGGAAATCGATAATAAAACAAATTTCAGATTTAACATTTGGGCTTCGAGATACCTATGTTCGCAGTAGATGCCTATATTACGTCATTCAAAATTCGATAGCTTTAGGTACCGTTGTTTTATCACAATGCGAGAAACATACACACATTTATGCAGTTTCTTCATTATTTAATTTCTTTAAATATAACAACACAGGGCGATAATATTTGGTGGCAACAGTTTGAAAACTGAAACGGACACTGGTAATGATTCGGCGCAGAATCGCAAAAAGAAAACAATTGTCCCCCAGGCACAAAGCCCCTTTGGAGTATTAAATCCCTTTGGCCTGTTAATTTGCTGGAAAAAAAAATGGTACAAGAAACATGATCGAGACCATACCCTTCACTCATATCCCTACTAAATTTTCGGATGTGTCGTCTACGAATTTTTGCGCTTTTTAAGACTTTTAAAAAGCGGATTGTCCAGACGTCGACCTACAACCCCCCTTGGACTTTGGAAAGCTGTTCAAGAGGAATGGGATCAAATACCTCTTCCGGTGATAAAAAATAGCTGAATTGTGTTGGAAATTACTATGTAGAAAGATAGTGAAGAATAAGGATCATCAAATGGAACCTTTAAAACGCAAAAATTTTAGGTAAAATATTTCTGTAAATGCAATGAAAATCGTCTAAAAATGTGCGTACAGCCTTAACACAATTGTCCAAACAATCTGGTTTTAGAAGCTACACCTTATAAGCATGAGTTATTATTTGCATGAACCTTAAAACCCTTAACCTTAAAAGCAGGAATTAGTATTTTAACGTATATACATGAAGAAATGTATATTTTTTAAAAACTATTGCCTGAGCTGGAAGGTGGTCTCGTCTACTGTTTTTACCACTATTAATATAATAACTTTATAGAATAAAACTTTTATTTCTCAGCTGAATCGCATTATCTTTTAATACTGTTACGGTTTTTGTATTGATTTATTTAGTTTGCTATTTTTCATAGAATTGTTATTAAATTGTTTCATTTCCTCGTGCAATGCTGCACGCGACTTATTTGAAGAGAAAGCTACGCCGGAAAAATTAAAAATACAGGAGCACGTGCATTTAATAAATAGATATCTCATCGTAATTGCACGCTTTTGCTTTTCGGTAAAAATCGAGAAAATACCAGACTATGCTCGTGCTTATTAAAAAGCTTATAAAAGCCAGAGAAAGACCCTCTCAGCTCAGTTGTTTAGCAGTTGTTTTATGAGTTGTTTAGAAAACTGTTGTTGTTTACTGTAGCGAATTCGCTTTGAAATCGGATTAGCTTTCTCTATTTTGAATTAAGTTCTGTTGAATGTTTTAGTACTTTAAAATATAACTACTGTGAGATTTTGCGATATTGTACAAATTACGTACGTATGGGTTCGTAATAGATTGAATGCACAAGTCCGATAATAGCTTAATAAAATTGAATCTTATCAAAAGAAATATATCGAAACTCTGGAATTTTCCTCAGAGATATTCGTACAAGTATGCAGAGTATCACGCAATATAATCAGTAGTTATACTTCAAACTACTAAAATCGTTAAATACGTAGCAATGCAAAGCGCATTTAAAGAAAAAGCTAACTCTAATATCTCAGTTCACGGGGAACTAAGCAACAGCAACTAAGCAAACAAACTCAAACGTTCTCTATTCGGCCTTTTACAGCTTTCCACCGGTCGCGAGATGTTTCTCGAAATTGCTGAAAAGAAATAAGAGGATGGAATTACGGTTACAGCTAACATAGTGGTCAATTACTTTTATTCAATTTAAATACAGATTAACCAAATATCCATTTACTCAATGTTAAATGCACGTGCTCCTGTATTTTTACTGTTCCAGCATAGCTTTCTATTGAAATTTGTCTCGCGCTGCATTACACGAAGAAATACAACAAATTTTAATTACACTTCTTCTAAAAAAAGTCTGAAAGGATTCAGATTTTAAATTACGTCCAAAGGGACTTTTTTAAACATTTTGTGTGTTAACATTATCTATTAAATATCATGTTCTTCGCACTTAAACCATAAAATTCAGTTCAAGAGCAATATTGTAAAATTATTTTAAATTGATCCTATCGTTAGAATTTCCGATTCACAGTCTCACGCGCTGAAGATAAAAATGTTTTTTCTGTAGAAGGTTACCATTGCTCACTTTGAAATCCTTGAGTTTGTTCATCAAAAAATTCGTTAATGTTTTACAAAATATGAAATCGATAATAAAACAAATTCCAAATTTCAAATTTGGAATTTGTATAAAACAAATTCCAAATTTCAAATTTGGAATTTGTTTAATTCGCAATAATAAAATTTAATTCGCAATAATAAAAGAAGGCGTTTCAGATTACCATATTTGCAGTAGGATTACGTTATTCAAAATTCGATGGTTCTAGATACCGTTGTTTTATCCCAATGCGAGAAACATTCATACATTTATGCAGATTCTTCATCATTTAATTTCTTCAAATGTAACACAGGGCGATAATATTTGGTGGCAAAGGTTTAAAAAGCGAAACGGACTTTCAGAGTGATTCGAAGCAAAATAGTCCTTGTGGGCAATATGACACTTTGGACTAAAAATTAATTATCTAAATACAAAATCCGTAACAATATAGATTTTTACCAGCTTGGGTTTTCTTATTACCACTTGAGATATCATGCATCTAACTTTCCACATACCCAGACCTTTCTGGTTTAAAAGTATTAGCGTATACTTATTTTTCTTAAATTTTAAATACTGGCGTATTAGGAACAATTAACTTCCGGTTTAATAGCTTACTGTGAAATGGAGAAACTAACACATTAAAAAACTGATATGTCTTCAAAACATCATAGAAAATAACATGCTAGGACATGCAATAAATATTCATAAAACGTTTGACAGTGGAATGATGCAACTTCAGTTTTAATTTTTCACTTACCTGTAAGGAATTAAAGGCAAACAGTAAAAACCGGATGGTTACAAATCTCAACAGATCTGCCAGAGAAAAGTTCTTAACATCGAAGATCAGCACCCAGCCGCATACGGAAACAGCGTCGATATTGTGGCTAAGAAATCCAACAATCAAAGCTACTGCCATCAGATCGTTTATAGAAGCCTCTTGCCATTTAAACCGACCTGCAATTATTAATATTTTAAGTCAAGATTTCAAGGCGTGTTTGCTTAATGATGAAAATTCATTGCACATGCGCGTATAGGGGATATAAATTAAATGGTGAAAATATATATATATGAAGCAAAAAAGAAAAATCTGATGCGTACACCTCACTTCCTTGTACGGAATATTAAATTATACGCATTTTTTCTTGCATTTCATTTAAACTTATTGGTTTCAATTAAATCTACTTCGTCGATAGCGCATAAACCACAGTAGAATAAATGCACTTTTTAAAAATTCACTATATTTGTTTACCAAAGCGACACTCTGGCGCTAGGTTCACTTAACAACGTTACATTTCTATCATTTTATAACTCAGAATGCATAAAATTTGGATTACTTGAAGAATTATATAATCTTTGCCTCATGTTCTATTCAAATACTGCAATAAATCTAAAACGATGTATAAAAGAAATTGAGCAACCCCCCCCCAAAAAAGAGGGGGAACAGTTTTACATAGACGATTCAATATTTCTCATTCAATTAATTCAGTTCTCCCTTCGCGACAAGGAAAAAATACATAAAAACTCAAAATATCTATATTAAAAATTGCGAAGAAAATCTTAAACACTTATTTCCTCGAGTAAATTCCAAAATGGATTTAGCATGATTTAATTAGCAATAATAAAAGAAGGCGTTATTTTTATTGTTATGAAGCTTAGTTTCTCCAGATCGGCAACAAATCCAGTATTCTGCTAAGTTTCAAATGTAAAACGTACGGCTGCTATGGTAAAAATAATTAGGCTTAGCCGCATTTAAACAACTTCTAAGTTGTTGATAATTCTACAAATATTGCATGCAGATTTACTAAAGGCATAAAGACTTTAACTCGAAGACACGAACAATCATTTTTAAAGCAAAAAATGCACAATTTACCAACATATAAAGGTATGTGGAAGATATATATATATATACTTTTGGTGGGGCCGACTGCAACTAAAATAGGAGATGCTCATTTACGTGTTAAAGCAGTCCTATATACGAAATTTCAACGTTCTGAGGCTACTCGTTTTTGAGTTATGCGAGATACATATCTGTACGTATCTGTAGATTATCTGTACCTATATACGTACAGATAACATCAAGAAATCTGTTCTGAATCTATTTCAAATCAGTTTTATATTTCGTTTGGGGAAAAAGAGTCCTTTATTCTGTCCTACGTACAGATGTCACGCAAAACATTGTTAAATTGCGTCAGATAGCGGTCAAAATGGATATTTTCGTTGAAATATGTTACCCGAGATTTTTCGCGATTACAATACTTCCTTTTTACTTCGTACAAGGAAGTAAAGAGGAATAATGCTTTCTATAAGCTATAGCACAAAATATAATAATGTTATTAATAAGAAAGCTCTGGATATAAACATGACGGTTACTATAGTGCCATCCCCTGGGCCAAGCAGGTTAAAACCTTAGATGTTATTTTAGATCAGAGACTTACATTGAAACCCCACGTAACACACATCACTTCCAAATTCCGGGCTACTAAAGCCGAATTATTGCCCTTAATTTCCAGGAGCCCAGATAACAAATTACTCGCATATAAGGCCATGTTGTGACGTCACTTTCGAATATCCTGTATGGGGTTATGCATGTAAATCTAATCTCAAAAAACTGCAAGTGCTACAAAGCATAACACTGAGACAAATAACTCCATAACGAACAGAAAATTAAAATGATAGCTAAATACATGGAAAAAAAATTCAGCAATATTGAAAGTATCCCACAGCTGGATTATAACTTCCATAACAGTGTAAATAGAAAAAGACCTACAGCAGTTCCCCCTTCGCTTAGACTAATTTTTTACTTTCATGTACGAAGTAAAGGAAGCATTGTAATCACGAAAAATTCCGAGTATCATATTTCAACGAAAATATCCATTCTGACCGCTATCGAGTGCAATTTAAGGAGGCATTTCACGTGATATCTGTACGTAAGGACAGAATAAAAACTCTTTTCGCCAAAAGAATTATAAAACTGATTTAAAATTGATTCAAGAGATTTTTTTCGTGCCGTCTGTACGCTCGTATGCATGTATGTATGTAACTCGCATAGCTCAAAAACAAGTAGCCTCAAAACGTTGAAATTTTATTGCTATAACATGTAGTTGTGCACCTCCCTTTTTGGTTGCAATCAGCCGCACCAAAGTGATATATATATATATATATATATAACCACTCTATTACTCTGCTCAGTGAGCTCAGTTTTTTTTATTCTTATTTGTTGGTAAATTGTGCATTTTTTGCTTTAAAATGATTGAATTATATTGTTCTTATCTTCCGGTTAAGGTTTCTATGCTTATAGTTAATCTGCATGCAATAGTTGAAGAATTATCAAAAATTTAAGTTCAACTAAGCCTAATTTTTTTTACCATAGCAGCCATATTTGTCTACATTTGAAATTTAGAAGAGCAGTGATCAGTATCTTTTTGCCGAGTGGGATCAAAAGGAAACTCTTAGTTTTGTGCACCCTCTTAGTTTGTGACGTCTTGCCTGCTGGCCGAATTGCTTGTTTTTGCCTAGAAACTGAATTTTAATTGTAAAAATGGTTTGAATTGCATTTGGTGTTTTATGCTTTTCTATATCTTTCAGTTTTAATGAAGATATTTTGAGTGCTTGTATGTTTTTGCCTTGTTGGAAAGTGAGAACTGAATTAATTGAATGAGAAATACATCTCTAATGAAAATTCCTGGAAACAAGTTTAAATGAAATGCAGGAAAAAATGCGTTTAATTTAATATTCCGTACAAGGAAGTCATGTGGTGTACATATCAGATCTTTTATACATATAGTCGCTGACAACTTCAACTCGTCTACATTGTGCTCACTGTTATTAATTTTCTCCTTCCCCTCATTTTTCGTTATTACTTGGCTTCATATTTATTATTTTATTATAAATTAAGTATGGCCCCGAAATTAGTACAATTATTCCTCCCCAACCAATCCACAAGTACAAGTATTATGTGTTAACTCCATACTTCCTCCTTACTTAATGGATGTCGAGTGACGTCAGATCAAGTCATACCTTGATGAATAAATTCAAATAAAATCAAATGTTATTAGGATTTAAAATTTTTAGTTTCTCGGAAACCTTTTTGATCGATATACTCTCATTTAATTAATTTTACTGTTTTAAATTAGTTCTTTTAAATTTAATTTTATTTTGCATTCAGATATAATTCAGAAACGTGGGTCTGTTGAAAATTCTTTCGGCTGCTACTTGAAAAAGACCAAAAGATGTTTCAACTATTGTTTAATATGTAGCGGAAATTTTGTTCTATTTTGTTTTAATTTACTTTTATTTTAGTTTGACAAACGTTTTTGGAATATACTATATTATTCTATGCTGATCTATTAGTATGTATACTACACTAGAAGGATATTAATTCTGTATAATTTACCATTTTCTTGATTTTATATACACACGCCATATATATACACATATAAAGTAAAAAATTTAGAACTAATTTTTCATAAAGACCCAAAATTGAAATGCACAATTAATAAATTTCAAATAATCCTATAAATCTAATAAAGAATTTAAAAAAATGTTAAAACCAAAACTTTTCTAACAAGCAATACCGCAATTCAAAAAATGAATCAAATTAATGAAAGAAAAATGGACATAGTAGAAGAGGAATTCACTCAACTTCAATGCCACTTCGTCAGGAGGAGGAACATTGATATCAATTAAAATCTCTCTTCCACAAAAATCCAATGTTCCTCCTCCTCCTGACGAAGTGGCATTGAAATCCTTTTCTATTATATTCGTTTTTCTTTAAATTTCATTAATTTTTTTAATTCGAGTATTTCTTGTTTGAAAAGTTTTGGTTTTTAACATTTTTTAAATTCTTTATTACATTTATATTATTTATTACATTCTTTATTACAATTATAGGAAATTTATTAATTATGCATTTCAATTTTTGGTCTTTCTGAAAAATTAGTTCTAAATCTTTTACTTTATGTCTTTACTGATAATTTTTGAGCAGCTTAATGCGCGAAAATACTAGGCATCTTAATATTTTGTTTTAAAAAATTGTTTTGTAATTATATACATATATATCTATTTAGATATACACCTGTCACAAAAAAAAATATATGCACCCAGAAGGGAACAAACCACTACAACGAAACTTAGCATGTATGTAGTGTATGGGGAGATAAATAAACGAACACAAATTCACAGGCGATTTGATAGCATAAGCAGAACAACCAGCGTTGAAATGTCGTCCATGTAACTGCAAACCGTCATAGTGCCTTGAAGAACGACTGTGGAGTCATGTGAATGGACGACTGTTGATGGATGATTTGAAGGCCGACTGTGGTAAGCGTCTTAACCCTTTCCGGCACGCTACCTTTTAAATTCGGAGTTTTCATAAAAAAAAAAAAAAAAAAAAAAAAAAAAAAAAAAGGTAGGCAGTCTAATTAGGCCTAGAGGAGTACACAAGTAAAATTTTGTGAAGATAGCACTTATCGTTTTAATTCTGTGGGTGTGCCCAAAATGGGCACACTGGCTGAATAGTTTCGAAAAGGGTGCTGAAACGAGCTTTGTTGTCAATCAACTGACCGATGAGATGCGGAGAAACAAAGAATACAGACTCTCAGTTGTCCTAGATTATCGGTGAGCCCGGTCTGGGCACACCTAGGGTTCGCCGTTTGATTTTAGGCAAGATTTCAAGGTAAAAATTAAAACTAATATAGAATAAGGAGATTAGCATACAGCCAAAAAATAACAGAGAAATTTCTTTTCAAACAATTCATTTATATCCTAAAAAAAATCTGGAAAATTTCTTTGAAAAATGAGGATCTTAAAAAACTAAACATGGCTAAAATATATGGACTGGTTTGTGTTGAGCTGCCATCTACTATAAATAAAGAAGGTTTAGAATAACCTATAAATCCTTTTTCATTCAATTTTTCTGTGCGTACAGAAGGAAATGTTTAGGTGTGTCCATACCAGACACACTGTGCCGCAAAGGGTTAATGGGAGTTGGTAGTACATACCAGCATCGGCCAGTTCCTCTCTGGATGGTTTCCCCTAATACCACCTGATGCCTGGAAGGTGGTAAATGCCATCGAATTGATGGTAGCGACGTTGGTGGTCAGGAAGTGGCTGCTCTAATGATTGTGGGATCCTTGCACTCATTTGTGTTCCTGAAATGCTCTGACTCTCCGCGACGGTAGACTATCATTTTTGTAATCCATTGTCAGCAACACCGAGCAACTACCATATCGATCCGACCGAGGTAAGGGGCGATACGTCTGTTCCAACAACCTGCTTCTCCGTGACCTATTATACGCTCCTTCTCCAAGACCGACAACTGTTCGTACTGCTGCCGGTTACGTCTCAGAGGCATCTCTAGTCACAATACTGTCCATGCAAGTTAACAGATTCGTTTGAATAGCCCACGAGCAATCATGCTTTGAAACTCTCACAGCTGCGCGTCTCATATGTTCATGGCGCGCTTACCCTTGTCTCATTGGTGCCGAAATTTAAATCATTTGCATATCTCTTACCAGGCTACGTTCCTGCCGAGTTTCGTGCTTGTGACTCGATTTCTTCAGGGTACGTATAATTTTGTGACAGATATACTATATATATGCAGGGTATTTCATATTAAACGGGGACAAAAGAATAGCGTAACACAAATTTTGTAATTGATTTCTAAAGTCGAAACAAATAAATTCTGAAACTGCAATTATGCACGTTTTTAACTGTTAACAGCGAAAACTCTTTCGGTTAGGAAATCGCCGCTATAGGTGTTGTTAATCAAAATGACGTTATCCATGCAGCATATTAAGTTTTGGAATACGCCAAAATATCATCGTTTACCATTATTCAAAGACTTTTACTCCCAAAACTTGCTAGAGAACCACCGCATCCTCACAACATCGAACGGCGGATGCAGTAGTTTCAGGACATGTATAAGATAGCCAACCCAGAACAAACAACAGTAAAAAACGAAGTGGTTGAAAAAAATTCGTCAAACGTTTTTACAAAGTCCCACAAAATCAACGCGTCGTGCAAGTTCTGAACTCATTGCGCCCATATAACGATATGGCGTGGTTTACGGAAAAGTTTACAATTCTGGCGATGCATCTTTCAGATAGGGCAGACGTTGCCTTCCGACACACCGTTGCGCAAAGCTTTCCGTGAGCATTTGAAGGTCAGCTAGACGTAGAGCGTATCGCGAACAGACTTGTATTTACGAAGGAACCCACTTTTCACGTTTCTGGTAAAGTTAATCACCGTAATTTACGACTTTTGGTCACAGACAATCTACATGCCATGATGGAACATGAGTGCGATTCTCCAAAGGTGAACGTTTTCTGAACCATTTCCAACAGTTGTGTTTCTGTTCTTTTTCTTCCTGGAAAAGTTAATTAGCGGGTTAATTTACCAAGATATGTTATCAGAGGGGGTTGTTCCCTCAGTTGGAAGAAACAGTTCCCTGCTTCATTGCTGCAAGACGTTTTATGTTTTATGTCAGTGTGGTGCTCCACCACACTGACATAAAACATACGCCAGTACCTGAACGATAGTCTACCCCGTCGCTACATAGGCCTTCTGGATCAAACGATATGCCATTGATTTTTGGCCACCAAGATCCCCGGATCTAACTCTTTGGGATTTTTTCCTATGAGTTTTTGGTAAAAACAAAGTGTTCGTCCTCCATTTCCCGAGGACAACAGATGCCGAAGCAGTGGATAACTGAAGTATTCGAATCATTAACAACTAATATTCTACCACGAGTGTGACAGGAATTGGAATATGCCACAGATATTAGCCATGTCACTAGTGGAGCATATGTAGAACATTGGAAGAAACTTGCATAACTAGATTTTTCATTGTAAATTTGATTTATCAAAATAAAGTAACTACAGCGTTCACAGATATGCTTTCTTTTTGCACCATTTAATATGAAACACCCTTTATATAAAGAGACAGAGACTGTTATGCTGACAAGGAACAAAGAAATGTAAGAATTTAAACTTCTGTCGAAATTTTACCGAATTTCTCACCTGGTAGGCAGACGACAATAGTTCTACCTTGGGGATCTTTGTAAGGCAGTAGTGAGTAACAGTTCATATCCATGACTCTTTTACCCTCGGAAGGTAGGAAATCAGTAAAAATTCGAGAGTACTTCTGCTTGAAGTAATAATAATTTCGTAACGTTTTGAAAGTCTTTTTGACATCGTGTTTCTTGTGTCGGAGGAACATCAGTAGAAATTTGTCATCCATGTAAGGATAGAAATCGGGCTCATCTGCAAAATAGAATGCAACAAATTGATTTGAATGTCCGTACTGTAATTATAGGTTTAATTTTTTGGCACCAAGAGAGGCCAAAATATTTTCCCCTCAAGCATCTGAAACGCCCGAATTTCTATTGGAAGGAATTTCCTTTCCACCCGCCAAGTAGACTGTTACAGCGTTAAGAACAGCATACTTGGATGATGTGATTACTTCTCGCTTGGGGATCGTTGTGCGGTTTCACTCACTGTATGCAGTTTCTTCATAGGAGAGGTTTGCAACTTCGAGCATTAGTAGCTAAACGTGACGCTAAACCGAAGAGAGGGAAGATGCATTAAAATAAGAGAGTTACTTTAGTCGCTTCAAAAAAATGATTGGCATATGATTTAATAACTTCCGAAACCAATGATCCATGCACTAACGACGGGGGTCAAGCACCAAAACGAAAGTAGAAGTATGCATTCGGGCGACCTGCCGATGTCTGAAGGCGTTAAGGGCGACTTCGCTGTGAAAGAGTTAATGTATACTTTAATGATTGAAATTATTTTAGTCGTATCACAAATCATTCTGGAAAAACGTTAACTGACAGCAGAAATTTGTGTGCTTGATGGGCCATTAACTTTCGTCTAAAACATGGGAGTGAATAGTCTGTGCTACTTGGCACAAAAGGCAATAGCTATAATCTGTAACTTTAAAGCGGGAACTTCAAAGATATTTTCCTCCACCCAATTTGATTCGGATCCATAGGAACAACATCTGCGGAAAAAGTGAGAGGTGCTTCGCATCGTCATTTAAAAAGAAATCGGAGCTACAAGTATTTTTTTTTACTAATTTTTTAGTCTGAAATTTCTGCATTACGTTTGGTGTTTTAAATAAAAACTCTTATTCATCGGACCACTAACCAAAATCTTCATTCCGAAGAGAACAGCGCATTTACTTACATCAGGAAATGTAATTTTACTCCATTCTTTTCAAGACTCACTCATCATAGATCTGCTTTTAAAAGAAAATCCAAGAAATGCAAGAATCCATTTAATAATGTTACGGTTTCTGTATTTATTTAGCTACTTTTTAGTAGAATTTGTAATTAAAATGGTTTTATATTCCCGTGCAATGCAGCACGAGACTTATTTGAAGAGAAAGGTACGCCGGGAAAATTAAAATACAAGAGCACGCGCATTTAATATTTTATAAATAGATATCTCGTAATTGTACTCTTTTGCTATCCAGAGAAATCGAGAAAATTCGAGAATGTTCTCGTTTCTGGAGGAAAACATCTTAATTCAGTTGTTTACTTACTGCTGCGATTGATTGTAGAGAATTCGCGTTGAGATTGGATTATCTTTCTCTGTTTTGAATTAAGTTCTGTTGAACGTTTTAGTAGTTTAAAAGATAACTATTGTGAGATATTGCGCTATTGTACGAATATCTCTAAGGATGTTTATTGGTTGTGATAAGAATAAGTTTAATTCACTTTTCATCGGACTTGTGCATTCAATTTATTACGCACGCAGCAATAACTATCAAACGTTTTTCAAAGAACCTGAGCGAAAGCTCCGGGTTTATCTCCTGTTTCCTCTGTCACGCTTTCAAAACAATTAGCGAAAGATGTAATTAATATAGGATTGTAATCTTTATCACGATAGACTAACTGCTTTTATGATATTCGGCATGTATATGTATGCTTGTGCCCTTTATTGCGATGGAATTGTTTCCAGCAATTTTGAAGACTCTGGTAGATAAAAAGAAGGAATTTTTCTTTTAAACACAGATGAGAACATATTAATTTTATAATTCCAACAGTAATGTATTTTCAGTGTTTCGTAAATTTCTATTTTTTTGTACGAGAAAATACCAATATTCTGAAGTTTTTTTTTTTTTTTTTTTTTTTTTAATTTTTGTTTATTTTTTTATTTATTTATTATTATTTCTTTTGTATTTCTTAAAGCCAAGTCGGAAAACGCTTTTCTCCAGTTAACCTCTCCCATAGAATAGCTCGCCGAGCGGTAAAGTCGCTAAACATTGGTAGTTCGGTCCGAGGTTCGATTCCCGCGAACGGGCTGGCTGCATGGGTGTTTTCGTGGTTTTCCCCATGTGTAACGTGTATACGAGCCAGTTTCCCTTAGAAAGTCCTCCACGAAGGCATCCCTCCCCTTAGGCAGATAGCCCTAGTGTGCTTTGCCATAATTAAATACACCAACTCCCATAGAATAAACTGATCTCTTTTTGTTTCAGACATTTAGATAAAGCCATGCTTCATGAAAATTCGTAAGATATCTCTACTCGTCTTCAACGGAATGACGTTGTTAGAGAATTCTAGAACATGTGTCATTTTCAGTTACATGCGTAGGTATAAATTGATGTACATTTAGCTCGTCTGATTCCCGAGGTTTTCCCCCGGTTGTTTTCTAAATTCCGCGGCAAAAATTAATCATCAAACCAATCGCGAACTTGATGTTATCTCACCAGTTTAACGAGATACCCATTTAGCTCAATATTAAATAATCTTTCCCCTGTAATCTTATTTTTCCTGCAAAGCTTCGCTGTACTTGAAGGCGTTCATTAGAAGAATTCAAGATTCAAGAATATTACGAATATTAAGAATATTACCGTTAAGACTATTAAGAACTTTTGGAAATTAAAAAAATGATTTAAAACAAGTTAAAAAAAATGATTTCTTTCTTTTTATCATTTCGAACATTTTATTTATTTGTGTTTTGATATCAAAATCATTTTAAAATTATGTAAGCATTTCTGCCCTTATATGAAACCTGGAAATATTAATAAATGCCTGATGCTTAATAAAATCCCTGAAGCTTCAATCTTTATACTTAAATAGTACGATTTTTATCAGTAGGTAAACTCCTGTTTCTTTTGAGACATATTTAAATATGTCTCAGATGCCATATAAGTTTTACTTACACCTAGCCAGCATTAAAATATAAACGATAAACATTATGTGCAAAATGAAACTATTTTGTTTGAAATCAATTAACTTAATATATCTGTTAATAAACTCGGTAAGTAAAAGTTGTAAGGATCTTAAGTTTTACTAACGTTTATTTTATTTTAAATCTTTACTATCACTTCTTATTTTTCTACTTCCGGCTAGAATTATAAGCGTTAAGGTTTTTATGCAAAGTTTGTCTGGCGAACGCCAAGTATTTAAGTGTGGCCTTTTGCCAAGCGAGAGAGAGGAAGCAGTGAGTCAAAGCAGGCCGCTTATCTTAGAAGTTACGCAGTTGCTGTTTGCCTTCCAGGCCAGAGGTTTTAATCCTCTTGATAAATTAAACGTACTGTAGTGTTCACAGTCTCTGTGCTACGTACGCTTACTGTTATTATAAGGCCAATCTTCCACGTGTATTATTCTAAAGTTAAATTAGAGTTTAGTTTTATTTTTATACTTTTACGTTAGACCCCAAGTGGCGGGTCAGTGTATTCCGAAGTACGGAAGTTATTGTATATAGAGAAAAATAAAGGGTTTTGTATACCCTTCGTCTGTATCCTGTCTACTTACCACAATTAGTGAACATAGCTTTAGTAAGCTCTCTGTTCCGAGTCAGGTCCTTGTATGTTTCCGAAGAAGGTTAGAAGGAACATTGACCCTGATAAAGTGAGTTAATTTAATAGCAGTAAACCACTGAACTCAGCCGGGGTCCGATTTCGGAGACTGGTCTTACTGTACGGTGTTTTCATCATTTACTCGTGTGTAATATTTATTTGGACAATTTTGCATAGGAAATCCTCCACGAATTTATTCCTTCCTCAGTCACATAACTTTTATATGCATGATTAACGGTCAACAAATGAACAATGTTGCTCATTGAATATGCAAATGAAACGAATATGAAAAGCTAAAAAGAATTTCGGAATTAATAGAATACATGCGTTTTTAAGAGCTTAGCTCTTTCACAGCGAAGTCACCCCAAACGCCTGAGCAAGACAGCAGCAGGTCGCCCGAACTTGCGAGTCCACTTCTTACCTGATATTTTGCCCTTCTGTTACTGCATGGCTCATTGGTTTCGAGAATTGCTAAATGACATGCCAATCATTCTTTCGAAGAGAATAAAAGCAGCTCTGTTATTTGAAGGCAGCTTCCCTCTCCTTTTTTAGCGTCAACGTTCAGCTGCTGACGCTCGCAGTTGCAAACCTGTCCTAAGAAAAAACCGCACAGAGTGAGTGAAACCGCACAGTGATTCCGAAGGGAGAAGTAATCGCTTCACTTATTGCTAACTCTGTAGCATTCTGCTTGGCATGGGTAAAGGAAATCCATTCCAAGAAAAATTCTTATGTAAGGGGTGTCAGATTTTGATCTCTACCAATGCGAAAGAGTTATAATTCCAAAATATCATAGGAAAATTTTATTGATGGATTTACTTATTCTGAAATAAAATTACGTTACTATAATTATTACAAATGTGTTTGATGTTCACTAGAATATCGCATATGTGTTTTGCAAATGATATTGTATCATTATGAACGATATATGAATTCGCTTGCATTCAGCATTATAAAGTGCACAAAATTCAATTTATACATTCCGATTTTTGGGGTGCGAAAATTTCAGTTTTCTTAGTTTTTTTTTATTTCAACAACCAAATATAAATTTCTTTAAAAAATTGTTTAAACCTTAAAGAGAAATTTGTCTATTGAACTAATATGTTCGAAGATCCTAACCTAATATGTAAATTTCATTGTATGAATATTGAATATTAGCCTATACTTATTTAAATGTATACAAAAGCTGTTCTTCAGTATTTTAGTGTAACTTACATAAATCACAATATAACAATGTAACTTATACATTAAAATAGTAACAGTAACTCTTCTAAATTAACTAACTTTTGAAATAGTAACAGTAACTCTTATAAATTAACTATAATAAAAGTTATAGTATTTTTTATTTATAACAGTTACAGTAAGTTTAGTTTCTATTCCTATTACAAAAAGTACTGCAGCAGTTATCTTTTATAAAAGTTATACACTGTTATAATAGTTATATGCTCTCATGACAGCTAACTTTTTTATTAGCAATAGTAGCTTTTATATATCATAATAACACTGTAACACACACAAACATTTTTATTTTCCAGAATCCCAACCTAATTTGTAAATAGCATTTTATGAATATTACGAGAACGCCCAGCGGTCATACGAAATGACCGCTGGGCAAATTGTAATTAAAATTATTTGTGCATAGGTGTCTGCTAATTTAAACTGAATTACCCAGGGCAGGCGGCGAGGACGCCCCTTTTCTTACTGCTCCACGGGGCTCCCCCTTCTACTTGCTTAATTGCTTAAAGTAGAATGCAATGAAGGAAACCACTGGCGGTACATTTCTTAAGAGCCACCGCTAGCTCAGTCAATGAAGATGATTTAAATAATGAAATGTTAATTCACATGTCAAAGATCTCTTTGTACACAACATTTCTTGTGTAGATCTTTCCATCATTTTTCAGCTCGCCTTGCAGAGGACCATCCATTATTTTTAATTTTACGTCCGTTCTTTCACGAACTCTTAAACATGCAACATAAAGTTGACTAAGTTCAAATGCAGGCTCAGGTAAAAATATGCCAACATGCTTAAGCGTTTGGCCCTGAGATTTATGGATGGTCATAGCAAAGGCGAGTTTTACAGGAAATTGTCTACGTCTCAATTGAAACGGCAACCCTGTGCCGTGGCAACTTCAGCCCATTGGCTAATACAGTTACGCAAGCAACCAATAAACTATCGGCGACAAACAGACACTTAAGCCGCATATATATATGGGGTGAAGTAACATCATCTCCTCCGAAACGGCTGGCTCCCGGGCTTAGCGAAGCACACAGTTGTATTCCGCAGGTCCGTGGCACGCCATTTTGACCATTCGCGTCTTCTTGGGACTTCAATTAGCTGAGATATTAATTAAAAACTAATTTTCCCTACGTTTTCCCTACATTCTCCACTTTCTTTCTTGGGTTTTCCCTATTAGAGGGATTTGGCTACCTGCCAAATTATTTTCTCTCGAATATTTACGGAACGGCGCCGAATTGAAATTCGAGGCGCGTATCCTCGGATTTCAAAAAATTCTCCGAATCCATCGATACCGTTCTCCTCCGATCGTTCTCCGATAGGACTTTAATCGGCCGAGATATTAATTAAAAACTGCAGAAACGTTAATTTCCGCCCTCATTTTTCCGAGTGGCAACAATAAACTATCGGCGACACACACTTTAGCCACTTATATGTACATATAAAGATACTGGACTTACAACAAAATAAATACTTACAAATAGAAAAATACAAATACATACTAAAATACATGCAAAAGTTCTTTAATTCTTTAATGTAACTTCTAGAAATCAAAATACTAAAACACTGTTACTATTATAAACTAACCAACTACGGGAACTTTTATTAATTAACTGACTCTAGTAAATTTTACAAACTGAATCTTTTTTGCAACTTTTGTTAATTAATAATATTAGCAAATTTGATAACAGTTATAATTAGTTTATATTACTATTACAGTCGTCAACACTTATAACAACTATAATAGTTATATAAATTTCAAAAAGTTGTATACTATTAGAATAGTTTTTATAATAGTTTTAGTAATTTTCATAATGGTAATGGAAATTTTTGAACTTTATGAATAATAATTTATATAACATTTTAAAATCATAACAGCCTTTAACTTAATTTGTAAATTACATTTTATGAATATTCTGCTGTACTAATTTCAGTACTCATAAAGCCGTTCTTCAATTTTTCGGTGTAACTTCTATAAATCAGGCTATAACAGTGGAACTTCTATAATTCATAATTGTTATAAAACATTTATAAATACTTTTATAAATAGTAATAGGAACTTTTATAAATTAACAACATTAGTAACTTTTATAATAGTTACATTAATTTAGTTAATATAACTATTGTGAAGTTACTATTATAGTAAACTTTCATAACAGTTATAGTAACTTTAGTTATGCACTATTATACAAGCTACAAATGTAGTAGTAAACTTTTTTAAAAACTTTTATCATATTCATGACTATTATAACAGATAACTTTTATAATAGCACCAGTAATCTTTACAAATAGTATTTATGATAAGTTTTAAAAATCCTTATAACTCTTTTGTATACATAAATACTTGAAGTGACTTACATTTGTTTTCGGATACTTCTATTTTTAAAATTCATTTGTACAGGGTTTTGTACTAAGTATTGAAACACAGACGTCAATTTTTCTGACGTATTATTTTTTCACTATTTTACTCCTTGCTTATTGCATGATAAATATCATCAAAACATACTTTTTAATAACGCAATTTATTCAAAAATTTTTATGAACTCGCATAATAATTTGCACATTCGAACGTTTCGTTAAGATCCTTTGACAATTGATGTTTCTTGTGATAATTTTTTTGTTTTAAATGAAAATAAGTTAGAAGAATTATCGTCTGCATTTGGAAATTATCACTTATTTGGCAAAGTCTAGTAATAGTTCCATATCTGAAGTAAGACGCTAGAAATTAAGAAAGAGTTCTGTTAGAAACTTAAATATTTATTATTTTAAAGGTAGTAAAATTATTCGAACTGTCAAAAAGTCCTCGATGTAAAGCGTTTAACGTAAAGCGTTAAGCGTAAAGCGTTTGATAGTATCAAACTATGGATATGGCATGAAACTGTTGACAATGTTCTGAAGTTTAGACCACAATCAAAGCTAATACTAACGAATCGGATTTATTCTGTGCAAAGTCAACCTAGACTCAAGAATTTGTACCATAAAACTTGTAGTAGATTCCGAAGAGCGGTTCGCAATCAAAGTTACTCCTGAAACTATTAAAAAAGTCATTAGGATAGATAGATGAAATGGGCCATCATAAAGATGGAAATTCTTCGTCAACAAAGAAAATACATCTAGCTTTCGCAAAATGTAAGTAAAGATTTATTTTATTGAAATAATATATCAGACTGCTGTTACACTAACTTCTACTAACTCATTTTTTTTTTTTTTTTTTTTTTTTTTATTTTTTCTTAAGCATAATTTTCTTCGCATTTACGCAATATACCATCCAACTGCAAAATTACACAAATTTTAAAAGCAGCATAGCAGTATATATTTAGAATTTCCGATGCAGCGTTAAGTTGGCATACATATTTGGTATTTTTTTTTTCAATCTTTTCTCAGTTCATCAGATCATTGTTCGGTTTTCTTACTTTGTCTTATATTATTAACTTTCTGTGAGTTTATTTTATTTAGACTAGAAGAGAAACACGCTAATGTGACAATCAAAATCGTAAAAACAACCTTATATTTAGCGTAGGTATAATGAAACACTCAATCGATTTCGAGGGCAGCTAAAGGTCCCTCCTCATCAGGAGAAAGAAATACATAGAAAGAAGAAAATAGGAATCACAGAAACACGTGGTGCTTATCAGCACTGCACGTGGTTATAACTAGATTTTTAATCAGAGTTGCACTGGCCGCCTACTTTTACTGAGCCAGGCTGTCTGATCAAGCATAAAGAAATATTTTTAACTCGCTAATATTTCTTTATGCTTGATCAGACAGCCTGGCTCAGTAAAAGTAGGCGGCCAGTGCAACTCTGATAAATCTAGTTATAACCACGTGCAGTGCTGATAAGCACCACGTGTTTCTGTGATTCCTTATTTTCTTCTTTCTATGTATTTCTTTCTCTGATGAGGAGGGACTTTAGCTGCCTCGAAATCGATGAGTGTTTCATTATACCTACGCTAAATATAAGGTTGTTTTTTTACGATTTTGATTTATTTTATTTACTAAATGTTACGTTCTTTTCGTTTACGCCACATAAAACTTAATTCAACATCAAAATCACAAAATATTTAAAAACAGCATATCTTTAGAATTTCTGAAAGACGGTCTCGCGCGCTGGAGGTAAAAATGTTTTATTACTTACAGTATTGGCATTGCTCGCTTTGAAATCCTTGAGTTTGTTAATCAAAAATTCGCTTCAGTTTTACTAAATATGAAATAGATAATAAAATAAATCCGAAATTCAAAATTCGAGCTTCTAGGTGCCCATTTTCGGGTGGAGGACTATGTTATTCAAAATGTGATGACTCTAGGTGCCATTGCTTTTTCACAATGCGAGAAACATACATACATTTACGCAGATTCTTCATTATTTAATTTTTTTAATATAATACAGGGCAATAATATTTGGTGGCAGCAGTTTGAGAAGTGTTATAGTGATGCAACGAAAAAGGACTTTTGGAGACTAATATCCCATTCGGGCTAACGTCTCTTTTCCTATAATATTCCAGTATTATTATAATAACGTTATATGTTAATATTTAGTAACAATAATATAATATAAAAATATAAACACTTTGTTCAAAGTTTTAATCTTATGTATTTTTAACCAATATAATTTTAATAGTTTTTTTTTCAAAACAACCAGGTTATAATAAATAAAAGCATATTTGAAAGAAAAAGCAAGTCATTACGCTAATATTTAGTAACTAATATTTGCAAATAAGATTGGAAAACTCAAGTGTTCAAAAACAAACGTGAGCCAATGAAATATCTGTTAATGCAATGCTCGAAGATAATTAAAGGCAATTATCCATTCACATATTGTGTATTGTTAAAAAAAAGTTGCAAATTTGGCTTTTAATAACTAGAATATATCATATGAGTAAGATCTGATGCTTACTTGCTATGAGTTGCTTTAATTTTTCTAAGGAATCTTTTCTTACAAGAGGTGTTTCTCCAAGCTCTGTTTGGGCGATCATTTCCATTTCAGAAGTTAAACCTTTCACTGAGTAAGGCACAAGAACCATTTTGCGATGCTTGTGTCCAGTAAAATGGATACTAAAACTCCAATAGCAGAAATTCCGAAAACTTTTAAGCTAGATACGTAGCGTTTATGAAATTACAATATTACAACTTTAGAATTATTGCCGGTATTGCTTTCTTTAACAAGAACTGGAAAAAATCACGCATTCTTATCCAAATATGATTAAACGAAAGTTATGTATTTAGATCTATTCGAGTTTTTTTAATGTTTTGACTTGCGCGGAATACTGATAAGCAAGCTATCCATTCACATATTGTTTACGATAATCAGTTCTTGATAAAGGTACACAAACTCGGCGTCCTTGCAAATGTTGAAAAAGCACTTCCTCGTGCTTTTATGTTTTTACTGACGCTGTCATTAACATTATTTTTCCTTGACTGTTTTTGACGATGCTTTCGACTCATGTTTCGATGAATTAATCATCCCTTTTTTTCCGGTTAAACAATGAGATACATTCCGCAAGAGAAGAGGAGGAAGAATGATCTTGCTTGTTTGCATTAGCTGTACATAAGTCACGTAATCTCTGAGGTCATATGCAATGTTTGTTTACAAAATGTATACATAAGTCACGTGATCAATGAGGTCTCGGAATGTATCTCATTAACCTACGTTTATTACGAAGAAAAACGATTTAAAATAATCATTCTTTTGTTGATAATGATTAATATTTTGAATATTCCTTTATTTTTGAACGAAGCTCTGTTTTTGAGGAAGTAAACTTCCAAAATTCTACCGGAAATTTTACTGTCTCTTCTTCTGACATATACATTTTACAGCACTAAGAACGAAATTTCAAATCAATGGAATTGGATTATGATTTATAAAACGAACATTAGATAAAATAAGGCAAAAAAAAATATATATATATAATAAGCTTTTATTTAATACTCATAACTATTGAAATTTTAAAAAAATCTGAAAGTCGTCAGCTTTTAGGGTCTCCCAAAAGGATTCGCTAAGGTTTTTCTACGCTCTCGCTGAGATCGCACTCTACCAGTCAGCTGTTACACTCATTTCCGCTAACCCTATTCTTGTTGTCTTTTTAGCTTTATTATTACGCATCATTTTCTTCGCATTTACGCCATATAAAGTAAAAATTTTAAAAGAAACATGCGTTTAGTATTGAATGAAGTGTTAAGTGTTGGCATACATTTTTCTATTCTTTTCAGTCATTTCTCAATTTATCCCATCAATGTACACCTTTTTTAGAAAAATGGCTTGCAAAACTTTTTTTGTCTTTCTGTTATTCACGTCTTGTGTGTTAAATTTATTAATTAAATACCATGCTCTTCGCACTCACGCCACATAAAATTCAGTTGAATAGCGATATCGTAAAATATTTAACAGCAGCGTATGTTTAGAATTTCTGATGTACAGTCTCGCCCGCTGGAGATAAAAACGATTTTATTTCGTGCAGTGTTGCCACTGCTCGCTTTCATATAGTTGAGTTTCTTAAAATTCATTCAAGTTTTACCACATATAAAATTCGGAATTAAAATTCGGGGTTCCAGGCGCACAGAGGACTACGTTATTCAGAATTTGATGGTTCTAGGTATCATCGGTTTTTCACGGCGCGAGAAACACGCACACACTCGTGCAGATTCTTCATTTTTTCATTTCTTTAAAATGTATTAAAACAGGGCGGTCATATTTCGTGGAAATAATTTGAAAAATAATTCAGACAATCAAAATGATATTCCGCCAAATCCCGTTTCGAGATTAATAGTCCATTAGGACTATTAATCTCAAAAAGACATTAAGGACTTAATCTCATTAAGGACTTTTAGCCTTTTGGGCTAAAAAGAAGGAAAATAATTTATCACATAGTTTTAAAGAAAAAAGCGATTAAATATCTCTTTCTAAAAATTCATCTACTTTTTTTATGATGCATAATAAAAGCGCACAGCGCCGTTGATAAATTTATAATGATAATGGCTTATATTTTGTCAATGCAATTCAATTAATAGATGTCATTATGTGAGTGTCCGCGCTTTTATTATTAGGGACATAAACTGCAGGAAAATTTTGTAAAGATAATTATGTAATCTCTTATTCCCATGGAACTAACTATATGATAAATTATTCACTTACATCGCGGACAAAACGTCGTGGAAAAAATAGCGAAAGGTTAAAACACCATTGAAAAAACATCGTAAGAAAAAAGAAAGCAAGGAGAAAACATCGCATTTCGAGAGCATTATGACACAAAGCATCGTCATCTAAAATGAAGTGATTCCAAATCTTTGCAGTTTAAAAGCATCGTCGGCGAAAATATCGAGATAAAAATACAAATCACGCATGACGATAATATCGCAGGCATGCCTTCTTCAGACTTTAAAAGTTGTACATGCATATTCGCATAATGACTTGTGAGCGCAAAAAGGAATGAAGAAAATTTTTACTTTTATATTTTTGAACTAACTAATAAATTTTTGCTGAAGAATTCAGAAGGAAACTTAAGCATTCAAAAACTGAAAATGAATAGTGAACAGAATTTTATAATATGGTAATTAATTTAACGTTGTAATAAAGGTAACTATATGCAGTTACTCGTTTCCATTTTCCAATCCATTTTAGACTATGTTTGTAATGAAATACTGCCAATAAAACTTTATAAAATAGATTAATTAATTAATGAATAAAAACTATATAAAAAAATTAATTAATTAGTGACCTTTATTAGTTCATTTTAAAAGTTTAAAATTCTCTTAACTGCTATACCTAGAATTATTTTTCTACTCATTTTCAGTCTTTCCTTAAATTTCCTTATTTTTTCAGCAAAAATATATTCGTTCATTCAAAATTATAAAATATAAAAGTAAAAAAAATCCTCCTTCCTTCTTGCGTTCACAAATCATTATGCGAATTTTTAAAGCCTGAAAAAGCGAGTCTACAACGTTATCCTCATGCAATTATTTGTTAGTACTTTATTTTTAGTACGCATTTTCGACGACGATGTTTTTTAAACTGCGAAGTTTTTCAACCGCTTTATTTTCTTTGACGATATTTTGTCCCAGAGCGACCAGCAGCCGAGCGATAAAATCCCTGAACACTGGCAGTTGGGTCCGAGGTTGAATCTCGCATACGGACTGGCTGCGAGAGCGTTTTCATGTTTTCCCAAATGTGCAAGTTGTTAATACGAGCCAGTTTCCTTTAGAAAGTCTTTCACGAAAATATCCCTCCCTTCTGAGTAAGTACTCTTAGGGCAAAAGCCGTAAGGCCGTAAGTAATAATAATTTTTTAGAACTGTGATGTTTTCTCATTGCTTTCTTTTCTCCCACGATGTATTTTACGATGACCTTGGAAAATTTTCTCCTCAATGTTTTGCCACGTTGTTTTCAGCGGACACCATACATTCACATACCGTGACAATAATAAAATTAATACGAAATATGTCATCCTTTAGCAGAAATGTCCTCTAGAAGGCGCTTAGGTAGTGATTGTACTAGTTTTCTGTATTCTGTTTTGCTTCTTTAACATGGAACAACACTCTTATAGCGTTCTTAATCATGTGCTCTTATCTCTTACAATTTATTTTCTTAAGATGTTTTCTGAGAACGTATCATAAATTTACGATGGGATTTCAGTCCGGTGAATTTCTAGGGCAGTCTGGCACAGTACTTTTATTGGAAAGAGGGTCAGTTTGAACACGTAACTGTCACTAGACCACACAGTACATTTATGTTCTACCATGAATTTCCTGACAGATTTCGACTGTAGCATGGAACTGAGTTATAATGAAATATTCCTGCAAAGGTTTTCGAGAATGGCACAATTCTATGTTTTAAAATTTCTATACATCTCAATAAAAACTAGATCTCCAGTACCATCTGCTGTAAAAAAGCACCCAAACATTCGTTTTGGGGATATTTTATGGTTTGTTGGGTATGTTGAGGTCACTTATTCATTCTTACATCCTCTAACAACGTTAGATGTGTAACCTTGAACAAATAAATTATTGTCAATGCTAAAAGGAACCTGTTCCCATGGTCATTCATAGTCGAAGATTTGTATTTTCTGTCCTAAAATAATCCTCTTAGCCCAAAGAATAAGGATAAGGATAAGGAACGGGGAACGTGGGCACTATGCCTCTACTATACAGTTAAGTAGTATAGCACCACGTCCACCATGATCTAGAGAACCTTTAAGACAATACTGATTCAAATACGTGACTACATAATTGAAAATGAATGATTGATTACAAACAAATGTAGTATACCTTAATAGTATAGTAAACAAATGTAGTAAAAATTTAGTATTTACATATATAATACGAAGAAGACAACAATATATGAAAATATTTGAGTTCCGTCCTTATACATACCATAAAAAATTAGGCCTTCCGTTATTGCCACTGACATGTCATTCTAGCCATAAGCGATTCTGAGAGTACTCCTATAAGTCCTACACTATTGTTAATGTTGCCGCAGCATTCAGAAGACTAAACGTTGCTGTCGTGTAGGAATAACGGGTAACTTTCCATTTAAATACTTTCTGTGTGTAAGAAAATCCAATAGCTACTGATCCCATTTGAATAAGTAGAAGAGATAAACTAATAAATAACAATAACCATATCTGCATTCTCAAGTTTCCAGGTCTTTCCTTTACGCAGGTTTTAAAACTCTTTCTCATGTTATCATATCGGGAAGCACGTCCATAAACATTTCTTTCTTTGTGATGTCAAATCTTTTCGGTTTCGTTTCCAATACATACAATCTCACCCACAACAGAGCTAAAGTGAGGGAACACGGGACCATCAGCATCACAGGCAAGTAACCATATTTATCGTAAACTTGGGGCCCACCAGCGGCCGAGCGGTAAAGTCGCTGAACACTGGTAGTTCGGTCCGAGGTTCGAATCCCGCGAACGGGCTGGCTGCATGGGCGTTTTCGTGGTTTTCCCCCATGTGTAACGTGTATACGAGCCAGTTTCCCTTAGAAAGTCCTCCACGAAGGCATCCCTCCTCTCAGGCAGATAGCCCTCGAGGCTTTGCCATACTCCCACACACACACACGTAAACTTGGCCTCCCACAAGAGATCCGGTAGGTGTAGCCATAATAGTAAAGAATTCCAAAATGGCAAATCGAACATTTCTGGATCTTTCATCCGTAATATCGGACATGTAACTGTATGCTGAAGATATGACTATGACAAGACCTCCTGAAAAGCCAGGTACTGCAGAGCTTACTATAAACCAATAGGGGGAAGCATTTGAGAAAGATGTAATGATTGTCTGTAAAGTGCTATAGATTAGTATTCCAGTTGTTGCCATTAAAAGAGGATATTTCCTGCTGTAACGGTCCGGTTCTCTTTCTCTTAGCCCAAAAGATGTTAGCCCAGAAGGGCTATTAATTTCGTTTTGGCATTTTGCGTTGGTTCACTATAAATGCAAGTTTACTTTTAAAACTGCGGCCACCAAATATTACAGTCCTGTAATAGATTTAAAGAAACTAAATAATGACAAATCTGTATGAATCTATGTGTGTTTCTCGCATTGTGATAAAACAATGGTACCTAGAGCCATCCAATTTTAAATAACGTAATCCTCCACCGAATATGGGCTTCTGGAAGCCCTAATTTGGAATCTGGAATTTGTTTTATTATCGAGTTCAAATTTTATAATACTTTAACGAATTTTTGATTAACAAACTCAACGATTTCAAAGCGAGCAATGGCAACACTGTACGGAGAAAACGCACAAAACGTTAAAAGTGAATGAAGCTTTTCAATCCAAGGACGACACAGAAGAATTTAACCTTTAATTGCACATCTTTATTCAATTTGGAGGCATATAATCACTCTTTACTAAATAAATTAATTTCAGCTCGTCATAGATTAGAACAAAGAAAGACAGACGGGAAGCAGCGGCATGGATTTTGACAGCAGAGGGAGAAAACAGCTTCTGACGCAAAATGACGCGAATTCCCTATTTATAGAAGCGGTTACTTAATAAGCTCGAATGTTGTGAAAAGTACTGGTCTAGGCTGAAGATCCTGAAATTGCGGAAAGTTAATTAGAGGTTCGCATAGAGCAAAGCCATCGAATTTTTTTATATTTTACATAGATGCATGTAGATTCTTCATTATATAATTCCTTTAAAAATTATAAAGGGCAATAATATTTGGTGGCAACAATTTGAGACCTGCTAAGTCATTTATAGTGAACCAACGCGAAATCCCATTCCAAAACTACTGGTCCCTTTTGTGTTATTGATATTAAAAGAAGGACGAAACGAAAGCGAGCAAAACCCCCGGTAATAATAAGTTCGGCGGATTTAACATCGAATTCTTGAAGTGGATGGTAAATAATTACTCGGTAAATGCCTTTCTTCCTTCTGCCTTGAGCAATACCTTAGAGAGGTAAAAGAACACTGCAATCTGATGATAATCAGATTTCAGGTAATCATTAAATGTTAGGCATTTGTTGAACAGCATTTGCAATTTTTTTCTTTCTGCGTCAATCATATTTGATTTTCGGAGTCGGAATTATTGTAATCAGAAATCGGAATCCTATCTGATTATTCACAATCTGATTGCAATTTGAGAGCTAATCACATTTTTACCGCATCAACGATCTATCCAGAAGAGGATATAATTTTCTCCTTCCTGGTATCCATCGATTGTTGAATGCATTGTTGTTGAACTCTGAAATGTAGTACGTAGGAAGAATAGAGTGAAATAAAATTGTTCTAATTTTGGATATTTACAGGAAGTAATATCTTGTATTTACAGCATTTGTTGAAATGAATAGCTACCAACTGCAATACGTGCATCGCAAGACGACGAAATGATTAACGTGCATTTTGGAAGATAACAAGCAGCGTATAAGCAAACTGTACATTGGTAGAGTAACTGCTTAAATTTGCCCATTGACAGTCCATGTAAGCATTAGTATTAGCCCACAATGATGATGTCACAAGGCCTGAAATTTATTTCCATTCAGATAACGTTTTTACTTCCTTGTAAGAAGTAAAGGAGGTATTCTGATCGCGAAAACTTTCGGGTGTCGTATTTCAACGAAAATACCCATATTGACCGCTCTTGAATACATTTGAATACTTTTTTGCGTGGCATGTGTATCTACGGACAGAATAAAAGACCATTTTTTCCTAATCGGTTTGTTAAATGCATTTAAAGTGGACTTCGAAAAGATTTTTTTCGCGTATAACTCAAAAAGGAGAAGGCGTAGAACGTTAAACTTTTCTATATGGGGCTACTATAACATATAGTGATGCACCACCCTTTTTTGTAATTGGCCAAAATATATATATATATATATATATATATATAAATTTAAACACAACCCTTCTGAGTCAGACGCGAAGAAAACACTTTGCCCACTCCCCACTAGAAAGAACGTAAGTAAGTTAATTAATGCTTTCTATTTCCTTTATATCTTCATGTACATTCCCTTTTCTTATATATTTTTTAAATTTTTTATTTTTTATTTTTTGATTTGTTTTTGCAAAGACTGTATTATTTTTCTTATATTTTGTAATTTTATAATGTTTATTTCAATTACTTTGAATTCTATTTCATAATGCCAATTTCCAATGTTTAATTTTTACAAATAGTTTTGAACTAAAATGCATAAACACAAGGGTGTCGGGGGACAATTACTCGAGCAATGTCAATTTTGCTGCAGAAATTGCTTTTCACTCAAAATTGAATTAACTAAAATGCTTAATCGAAAGGAGTTCTTTGGTTCTCTGCATTGGTTCTTGGTCCCTTCTATTCACGGAAATGTTTGGCCTAGCTTGAACTGCCGGTTTGGCATCGCCTTATTGCTCGAGTAAAGGACGAAACACCTTCGTATTTATTTCTTAATTATTGTTCATTGAACGGGAGTTGGTTTGTTTCTCTTGAAATACTTGCTTTTAATTTATTTCTTTTTACAATTGAAATTTTGTTATTCAGGATTTAATTCAAGTCCCCGTTAAACATTTTTAACAATTTACATTCAAGTTACTTTAAAATATTTTTCGAAATTGTACTTACTAAATATGGATTCACTCTTTTAAGATAATTCTTCGAAAATTAATCTTAGGAAATAATATAATCAATATTCTTTAGTAAATAAATTAATTTACTTTGCAGCAATTGCGCAAGTGTAGAATAACTCGATTTCGCACTAAGTGAATTTAGATCATACATATAATATATAATATATATCTTTATAATAATAAAATTCATAGTCAAATACACTTAAATTTCTAACTGTATGTTCTTTTCATATTTAATGGCGACGTTCTCTTATTTGAAAGTACGTGGAATTAAATCTACAGCCCCGTAGTAAAGTTGTTTTTCCCGCCTTTTTTACACGTACAGTTTTAGAATGTTCTGGAGATATTTAAAGCGAACTGGATTGGCTGACGAGGCTGACGTCATTTATTGGAAGCTCCGCCTTTCCAGAGGCTATAAAAAAAAACTCGCAAAAGGAATATCGGGGCTTTTTCTTAAATGTCACGATGCAGTAAACTACATACAAAACGTTATTAGTAATTCTTTTTATTTACTCCGGATATCTGATTTTTGTAACTGCTATTTCTCCTGAATAATAATAAATGGATCCTGTTTTTTAAACTTATCGTCTGATTATTTAAGCTACGACTAAAGCTGATACATCACAAGGAGTCGGCAGGATGGGTGTACCCAAAAGGAAAATAATTCCAATGGAAGAGAAAGAACTTTTTAAGTGCAAGTTGTGTCTGTTTTTTACAACTGAAGAATTGTGAATTGTGATACAGCTTTGTCTTCGAATTTTGAGCGCGTCTCATAGTTAGAACCGCATGATTTGGATATCGTCTGCTGAAAAAAAGCTGAAGAATTTCAATTTTTTATTTTTTTTTTTTTTTTTTTTTTTTTTTTTTAACAGCACACAAACGAGCAGGAATAAATGGTGTACTCAATAACCAAGTAAGAACAGATTTTAAGAAATTATTTTTTCTCAGTGTGTGAACTAAGTTGCTACAACAATAGTTTGGTTTTAAATATATTATGTTAAAGTAATTACGAGTTTATTTAAATTTCAAGTCTTATTCTAATTAATAGTATTCTAAGTAAGATTTGATATTATCCTGAAATGTGTAGTGATAATCATAAAATTTGAGAATACAAAATTTTTATTTAAGTCTATTATTCTATGAAGTGTTGATAATACTCTGAAGAGTTTTTGGTTTAAAAAAAATATTTTAACTATTGTAAAAATATTTTGAGAAAAGTGCACATTTTTTGTTCTCAAGAAAATTTTAAAGTTTCAGTTACAATGTCGACAAATCAGGAACCCGTTAATCTTGACGATTCACTGAACGTGAATCAAGATACAATAGATTTAAATATTATTCCATTTGAAGATTCTAAGGACAGTGACATAATTTCTTGGTTAGGTTATTTTAACAAAGTCTGCCAAAATAAGGACGAAAATTGGAAACTTCAAAATATTTCTCGTTACATTAAGGGAAAAGCCCTCTGGCTCTATATTAAAAATTGCCATGAGCTAAAAACTTACTCAGAATTTGAACAAATATTAAAAGAAAACTTTATCGATCCCACCTTAACTACTTTCGGCGACTTCGCTAATTTAAAATATAACGCCAGAGAAGACATCACAAATTACTTTCGAAAGAAAATGGAAGTGGGTAAGCGGCTTAATTTGGATAAATCAATGATTTTAGAAGGTTTGACAGATGGTTTGCCAACGAACTTAAAGTCTTTGATGATTGTTCAAAGTCCCGCTGATCCGATAACTTGGCTAGAACAAGCCCACAAACTTCGACAAATTCATGAATTTAAAGATGAAAATTCACAAAATTATAACAGAGATAGGAATAGTCAACAATTCAGACAAGCTAATTTCCGAAATAATAATCGTCAGTTTGTTGATAATCGACCCAATGCATCTAATTACAAACCTCATAGTTTTCAACAAATTGGAAATAAATCTAACAGCAATATCAACAACGGAAAGAAAGTTGTAAGTCACCATACTAATAGTAATTTTGACGGTATAGCCCCATCACCTTGTAGAATATGTACCAAAAAAGGGATACCAAATTGTTATCACTGGGCTCAAATCTGCCCATTCCGAAATGAGAACAACGAAACTGAAACTAATTCTAATGTGGAAAACAAAAATTCGGGGTCTGATTCTTCGGGAATTTGACAACTAAGAATTAAGGGATTTTTATCCCATGGCAGATCAGTCGACTGTGTCGTGGACACTGGCGCGACATTGTCTATCATCTCAGAAAAATCTGCAAACAATTTACAGTTA